ATCTTCAGTTTACAACATAAACACTGACACATAATTTGTTCTCCAAATCCAGACAGTTGAGATTGAAAGGGGGTGGGTACTATCAACAATTATGCTAGGAGCCTGGGCATAAACACAGACTGTCCCGACCAAACCTCATCATGTGGTCACCCTAACTAGATAGGACTGCACTGCCCACAACAGAGGGCCATGGGGACTTAGGCCTCCCACCCCTGGTCCCAAGGGGTGGAGGAGAGCAGGGTGACTTCTCTCTCCAGTTGGGTAGAGGGTGGGAGGTGCTCACTTGTTCTTGAAGTCCTCCACCAGCCCCTGCATGTTGCCAAGCTCCGCCTCCAGCTTCAGCTTCTCCTGGCCCAGAGTCTCCAGCTGCCGCCTCAGGTTGTTGATGTAGTTCTCAAACATGTTATCCATGTTGCTCCTAGCCGTTTTCTGCTGCTGCAGGAGGCTCCACTTGGTCTCCAGCATCTTGTTCTGCTGCTCCAGGAACCGCACCTATATGAGGGAGGAAAAAGCAAAAACGTCCACATCAGGCCAGGCTCAGAGTCTGGAGGGAAGCAAGCACTGTCATTCCCTTAAACCACTCCCCAAGCAGTGAGGACTCCAAACAGCAGGCACCTGGTTAGCTGTTCTGGAAGGATCACCTAGGACCAGGGGGAGAAAGCAGGCGAGATGGTGAGTTGGGTGGGGAGTAATGTCCCTCGAGCATTGGGTGAGGGAAGGAGTTAGAAGGAGACAGGTAAGGGAGTTATGTTAAAGCTGTATTTGCAAACCAACAGGTCTAATTTAATTTACCTAGATTGTACATTACAGATCAATAAAAATAGCCAAGCTTTCTAAAGATGCTAACATTGAAAAAGAGGCCGGGCATGGTGGTTCACACTTGTAATCCCAGCATTTTGGGTGGCCAAGGCAGGTGGATTTCTTGAAGTCAGGAGTTCGAGACCAGCCTGGCCAACATGGTAAAATCCCATTTCTACTAATAACATGAACATTAACCGGGCGTGGTGGCACCCACCTGTAAATCCTAGCTACTCAAGAGACTGAGGCAGGAGAATCAGAATCACTTGAACCTGGAAGCAGAGGTTGCAGTGAGCTGAGATCACGCCACTGCACTCCTGCCTGGGCAACAGAGTGACTCCATCTCAAAAAAAAAAAAAAAAAAAAAAAAAACTTGTAACTCTTTCTAAACTGGAGGGTTTTGGAAGACAGAGAAATCTTGAGGGTACAGTCTAATTCCCACCACCACTCTCTGCAAATCTCTTTCTTCCTTAGGTCATTCTGTCCCAAAATCACCAAAAAAAAAAAAAAAATGATTATTATAACCTTTTTTTTTTTTTTTTTTGAGACGGAGTTTCGCTCTTGTTACCCAGGCTGGAGTGCAATGGTGCGATCTCGGCTCACCGCAACCTCCGCCTCCTGGGTTCAGGCAATTCTCCTGCCTCAGCCTCCCGAGTAGCTGGGATTACAGGCACGCGCCACCATGCCCAGCTAATTTTTTGTATTTTTAGTAGACACGGGGTTTCACCATGATGGTCTCGATCCCTCGACCTCATGATCCACCCGTCTCGGCCTCCCAAAGTGCTGGGATTACAGGCTTGAGCCACCGTATTATAACATTTTATCCTAATGGAGTGTGGGCCAAGCACTGCTGAAGTGTTTAATATGTAAATTTGAATAGGCAAAAACTCGGATTTAGGGGCGCTCTTAATCATTTTATAGTTGAGGAAATACACTTGGCAAGGGAGTCCATCACATGAACCCGCGGAGCAGTGCGAACCAAGAATTCAGACTCCGAAGCCTATGCTTAGCTGCCCTCTATCAGGACCCCAGCGCTAGCAAAACGCAGTCAACAAGCCAAGTCCAGGCGCTTGGAGCGCCAAGGGCACCGGAGCACAGGCTTCCTGGTGCTCGGGGTTCCTCCCGGATGACTCTGCCCCAGGATTTTCCTCCTCCCGTTCCCACAATGCCTCCCAGGAGCCAGTCAGCGTGAAGGGCCCGAGGCCCCTAAGGCAGCAGAGTCCCAGGGCTACAAAACCCGGCTTGGCTCCTGCTGTGTGAACGTGGAGCCAGGCCGCTGGGGCGGACCCGGGGCAGAACGCGAGAAAGAGACAAGGGCTGAATGGGCGAGGGGTGTAGGCGGGCGGCAGCGTTATCTGAAGCCATAAACTTAACAGGACGTGAACCCCGGGCGGGGCGTCCCACACCCGCAGACTTTGAATCCCGGATGGGCTTTCCGAGGCCAGATTCTGGCGCCTCCTCCACCCCACCCCAACCCCTCCCACCCCTGACAACGAGCTCCACCAGGTGAGGAGCGCGTCCGGAGGACTCTGTTGCCCCTCACCCCACCCCGCCCCGCCCCGCCCCGCCCACGCGGCCGGCCCAGGGGCCAGGGTATGACTCATTCAGTGACCCCCGCACTCAGGCCTCCGGGAGCCAAAGGCCTGAATCAATATTTGCGCGTTTGAACCGAGTCACCTACTTCCTTCTCCTAGAATGCTAGAATCCCACCAAACACCTATTTTAAAAATAAAAGAACAAAAATCACAAAGGCACCGTTGGGGAGCCCCTGGGAGAGGGGAACCTGGAGGAGGGTAGCCCCACAACAGCTGGGACTGCCGCAGAGTGATAGTTTAAAAGACGATCAGAACTCGGGTTGGGGTGAGAACAATAATCACTACTATTTTTTATAGTTTGAGGACAGAATGACCTGGGGAAGAAAGAGATTTGCAGAGAGGGGTGGGGGGAACTAGGCTGTACCCTTAAGATGTCTCTCGCTTCCAAGACCCTCCAGTTTAAAAGGCAAGGAGGAAGCCCCAGGATTCATCCCGGCCGTCCAGACCCTCTCCCCACCCTCACCCAGCCCAAACCAAGGTGCACAGGAGAGATGAGTCGGAGGTTGGAAGGTTATGTCGCCAGGGCTGGCGAGTCCCATCAGTACGCCAGTGGTGGGCTGGAGATGTGCACAGGAACCGGGACTGCCAGGAGAAAGAAAGGGCCTGCGGGCACAGTCAGCCACGCAGGGGGACCCTCACCTTGTCGATGAAGGAAGCAAACTTGTTGTTGAGGGTCTTGATCTGCTCCTTCTCCTGGGTACGCACGGCCTGGATGTTGGGGTCCACATCCACCTTAATGGGGTTCAGCAGGCTCTGGTTGATGGTGACGGCGGTGATGCCTCCCATGCCTATGCCGCTGGCCCCAAAATAGCCTGCACCCAGGCCACCCCGGAAGCCACTACTGCTCACTCGGGAGAAGCTCAAGCGGGCACTAGGCCCACTCGTTAAGGAGCGGCTGCTGAAGGCCCCGGGGCCAGAGGTGGACACCTTGTAGGACTTATGGGTCACCCTGGTGGACATGGTGGAGGCAGGAGTGGAAGCAGGCGAGCTGAACTAGGGAGAGATTCCAGAAGGAGCGGAGAAGCTGCTTCTTGGACGAAAGCACTCAGGAATGGCCTTTTATAGAAGAGAGCCCAGCCCCAGGGTGGGGAGGAGGCGTCGTACCTGAATGGCTAGCACCAGAGGGGGCTGGGCCTAACCCAACACCTGCCACCTCTGGGCAGGACTCGGGTGGGGGCAGCAGAGAGCTGCTGCCACCCAAGGGCCCGCAGCAACCCTGGAGCCCACTCCAGCACCACCCCAGAAACCCAGGGAAGGGCAATTCAGTGAACATTAAACTGGAAGAAATCCTGTCCTGGCACAAGCTCCTGTAACAAGGAGACTTGCCTGGGTCATCCAGCCACTACAACCCTGACTCTGGGTCTTGTCTCCCTCCCTCCTGGGGGAAATAAAGTGGAGGACTGGAGGACTGGGAAGCATGGCAAAAAAGGGCCTCCTCTGAGCTGCTGACACCCCGAAGACACTCTCCTGTGTTCTCCCTGATTGAAGCCATTATGAGGGCCTGCCCAGGCTGGATGACAGAACCCCTGGAGTCCAAAGCCTTAAATCCGAAGTCAACCTTTTGCCTCATCTCTCCAGGTTACTGTTCTACCCCTAGTACCTGGTGCAGTGCCAAGAGGGGCTGGGTAGATATTTGTGGAATTAATGTATGAATAAACATCACACACGCACACACACACACAGAGCGGCTGTCGTCCCTCTGCATCTGAAGGTGCAAGACAAAAAGAGATCCCAGGCCAGACACAGTGGCTCATGCCTGTAATCCCAGCACTTTGAGAGGCAGGGTGCAGTGGCTCATGCTTGCAATCCCAGTACTTTGGGAGGCCCACGTGGCCAGATAATGAGATCAGAAGATCAAGACCATCCTGGCTAACGGTGAAACCTTGTTTCTACTAAAAATACTAAAAAAATTAACCAGGTTTGGTGGCTACATGCACCTGTAGTCCCAGCTACTCTGGAGGCTGAGGCAGCAGAATTGTTTGAACCTGGAAGGCAGAGATTGCAGTGAGCAGAGATCCAGGCATTGCATTCCAGCCTGGACGACAGAGTGAGACACCGTCTCAAAAAAAAAAAAAAAAAAAATTAGCCGGCGTGGTGGCACACGCCTGTAATCCCACCTACTCAAGAGGCTGAGGCAGGAAAATCGCTTAAACCTGAGAGGCAGGGATTGCAGTGAGCTGAGATTTCACCACTGCACTCTAGCCTGGAGGGCAGAGTGAAACTCTGTCTCAATGAAAAAAAAGAGCAATCCAACACAGCATTTTTCCTGAACACAACCCAGAGCCCTTCTTTCATCCCAAGGTCCTAGGATCCCCTGTGCCAGGTTAACACTGTAAGCCTCACTGAAGGGCCTGGAGAATGACGAACAGGGCTAGAAGGTAGGGAAGGCAGGGGCCGGGACTTCATAGTTCTTATGGCTCTTTGTTGGAGTCATTCCCATTGATCCCAGTGAGTGAATCATGGGAAGTGAGATAGGACGGCAGGGGGTACAGTGGAGTGGGGTGGCACTGGTCACCTCAGGTAAGGGGGTGACCACCTACTGGGCGGACAGATGCACAGATTCCTCCCCCTTTTTTTTTTAAGTTAAAATTTTATTTATGGCCTGAGTGGCATATAACATGTGTTTTCCATGCTTCAAAAAGAAAAAAAAAAGTCTTCAGCAGGTCTCTAGCTTCTGTCCGTCCCTGTGCATCCTACCGTTCTGTTTTCTGTTCTTAACTTTCTCTGTACCTGTGGAAGTCATCAATGGTGAGTGTCACAGGGCTTGGCAAGAAATGTCACATTGAAGACAAGTGGCCTCAAACTGAAACCAGGTAGTGGTGCTACCTGGACCCTCCTGCTTTCCCAGCTCCCGACGGGCCAGAGGAAATGGAGGAAGTCTCTGCACCTGTCTTCCCAATCCTGTTAGCAAAGTGAGTCAGGAAGGCAGGTTGAGACACAGCATGCACCTGTGGGAGGTTGAAGAATGGGGAGCTGAGCAAGGCACCCCAGGCCTGGGTGGGGCGGGCGTGGGTGGAAGGCAGGAGGTTTAGGTCCCCAAGGCAGAGATTCCACCTGCAATTACCTGATGGCTGGGCTGGGTTCTCTGGAAGATACTGCAGGGTGTGATGTGGGGACTGGATGAAAATGAACTGGAAGGACCAACAAATGACACCCAGATCCCCTTGGGGAGAGGGACAGGTGACACACAGCCCTGACCCAGGGAAGGGGGTGACCACCTGCTGGGAGGACAGATGTACAGATTCCTCCCCATACTTCTCTGGGAGAGACACCTGGGCTCACAGACAGACAGGCACATAGGACCCATACTCAGAAGTACAGAGAAACCCAGAAGCCCCCTCTTCGGAGGACAGACATAAACCTAAAAACACAAAGGAGCTAAAAAAGCTCCCTTCACAATGCATGCATGCACACACACACACACACACACACACACACACACACACACACGCCTGCGCACGCAAATCACATTGAAGTCCCTTCCAGAAGACAAATGCAGAGATCCCCAGAGTAGGCACAGTGAGTGGCTCCTTCCTCCTTCCACTGTTTTCTCCCTCCCCTCCCCTCCCCTCCTCACCCCTCTATTCCCTCCCCCTTCCCCCCCCTCCCCCATCTCCTCCCCTCTTCAATTTCCTCCCCCACTTCCCTCCACCCCTGGCCCTGGCCTCCTGCTGTGCTGAATGGAGCAAGGGAAATCCAGTTAGCACCTATTTACACCAGGCCTTCTCCCAGCTCCTTTAAACAATGACTAATTTTCTCAAGAGTGATTTGAATACATGCTACCCCCTCCGGAACAAACACCTGCATCCAGAAGAGCTGAGAAACCTTTTCCAGAAGACCAGAGGGAGGAGCACTGGGCGCAGTGCCAAACCTGGGACAGGGAAGGCAGAAGGAGGGAGGGAGGGGCTGGTCAGACGGGTATGGCAGCCCTGGAAAGGGAGGACAGGCGCTCTCCCTATATTCCCTTCCCCATGCTGCTGTTAGAGGGAGGAGGGAGCACTCAGGTCCTGATTTAGGCAGCACAAGGAGTGAAAAACAGTACCCCAAAGCCCTTCCTGAAATTTCAGTCCCCTCCACCCCATCTTTGCGGTTCCCTAGTTCTAGGACTGTCTCTTGTTTAAGGTGAGGACAAAGCGGGTTGCCAGGGACCCTGCAGTATCCAGACCGGAGGGCTGACCCAGACCTTACCCAGCCAGGGGAAGCCCCTTTTTTTTGGGGCAGCCCAGAACAGTCCAGGGCCAGAAGTGTCTGTGTCTTATTTGTCATCTCTCTATTGCCCAGAAACCCCAGCCAAACCCACCCCCGGATGCCCCAGGCCCACCCTCAGTGCAAGAGAAGAGGCCAGAGTTAGCCTCTCTGATGGCCCCTGCCTGGGACTTCGGGGGTAAAGGCAGAAGGGGAAGGCCCCTGCCTGGGACTAGGGCCAAGGGATGAGGGAAGAGAAAACCAGACTGGGGCGCGCCCAAAGGTACAGCTCCTTATAAGGCAATGTGGTCTACACACAGCTGCCTGCCCAACAAAAGGGAACAACGTGTTTGTGGTGACTGCCCTACCCAGACGACTCTGCCTCAAACCGCCTTTCCTGGAGAGTGAACCAGGGAAGGAGGAGACACTCTCTCCCTGTGGACCAGGAGTGGGGTCCAGGCCCCCTACTCCTGATGCCGCAGGATAATTCACAGGAGGCCCTGAGACCCTGAGCAGTGGCTTAAGTCTGGGGGCCAGTGGGGTGGGCAGGTCGCTGTTATCATCACTCATAATTATGGGAAGAGATGGTCCAAATAAGCTTTGCTTAGTGATCAGGACTAATGATCTCATTCACAGCAGCATTGTTCATAACAGCCAGAGTGGGAACAAAACAAACGTCCATCAAATGATCCATGGATTGTTTTAATGTGGCATATCCAAGCAATCTAATGTTATAATTAAAAGGAATGAACTACCTATGTACGTCAGATGCAGATGAGCCTTGAAAACCGTATGCTCGGCTGGGCACGGTGGCTCATGCCTGTAATTCCAGCACATTGGGAGGCCAAGGCAGGTGGATCACGAGGTCAGGAAATTGAGACCATCGTGGCCAACTTAGTGAAACCCTGTCTCTACTAAAAATACAAAAATTGGCTGGGCGTGGTGACGGATGCCTGTAGTCCCAGCTACTCGGGAGGCTGAGGCAGGAGAATTGCTTGAACCAGGGAGTCGTAGGTTGCAGTGAGCCCCGTGCCATTGCACTCCAGCCTGGTGGCAGAGTGAGACTCTGTCTCAAAAAAGAAAAAGTATGCTCAGTGAAGGGAGATAGTCATAGAAAACCAGCTACACTATGATTCCATTTGTATGACATGTGCACAATAGGCAAAGCATAGAGACAGGAAGTAGATTCGTGGTTGCCTAGGGTGGGGAGGAACGAAGGTGAATGCTAAAGAGCAAGGGTTTCTTTTTGGGGTGATGAGAAGGCTCTAAATTTGATGGTGGTGGCCAGGCACAGTGGCTCTACCTATAATTCCAGCACTTTGGGAGGCCGAGGCAGGAGGATTACTTGAGTCCAGGAGTTTGAGATGAGCCTGGGCAATATAATGAGACCCTTGTCTCTACAAAAAATACAAAAATTAGCTGGGCGTAGTGGTGCATGCCTATAATCCCAGCTGCTCTGGAGGCAGAGTTGTGAGGATCACCTGAGCCAGGAAAGTTGAGGCTACTGTGAGCCAAGATCACATCACTGCACTCTAGCCTGCCTGGGAGACAGAGTGAGACTGTCTCAAAAATTAATAAACAAACAAACAAACAAATTCAATGGCAGTGAAGCTGCACAAGTCTGTGAACACACTAAAAACATAGGACAGCAGTGCCAGGGACCTGAATGATGGGAAGTGGAGATTACGGAGAGGATTTCAAGGATTTCGAGGAAACTTCAGAAGCTGACATTGAAGTGGAGGAAGCCCTCATGGTGTTCAGACAACTGGAACTGCAAGCTTCAGGTTGCTGAATTATACTGTATGTGAATTATAGCTCAACAAAGCTGTATCAAAAGGAAAACACAAAAGCATAAATGAGTTGCATATAAAAAAACAGGGGCTTTGTGCCCAGCATAAGGAGTTGGGGGAAAAAGGAAAGAGTTTGTTTAGATGCCCCAGGTAAAGAGGTTTCCTACCTCTGGGTTAGGGCAGTGCTCCAAAAGTATCTGGAATCCCTTTAAAGGATGGGGCATTTAAAAATGTTATTGTTGGGGCCAAGCGCGGTGTCTCAAGCCTGTAATCCTAGCATTTTGGGAGGCTGAGGTGGGTGGATCATGAGGTCAAGAGATTAAGACCATCCTGTTCAACATGGTGAAACCCTGTCTCTACTAAAAATACAAAAATTAGCTGGGCATGGTGGCACACACCTGTAGTCCCAGCTACTCGGGAGGCTGAGACAGAAATGCTTGAACCTGGGAGATGGAAGCTGTGGTGAGCCAAGATCGCACCACTGCACTCCAGCCTGGGCAGCAAGAGCCATACTCCATCTCAAAACAAAACCAAGTGGTATTGTTGGCCTAGAAATAGCTACATTTAGCTTTGATACAGCAGAACAATTTGTTTAAATAGGAAGCCACAGGTGGTGGGTACACTCATCAGGAAGCAACATCATGAATAATAGAGTCAATTCGATTACTAATTTTTTGTTGTGTGCCTCAGGGCCAAAATTGTTTATAGTCAAAGCTTAGCAAGTGGTGACCTTTTTGCTCTTGATCAGTGGTGGGTCTGATGATCAAAGCCAGCTAGGATAGAAATGGACTGCCTAGAGAGGGAGCAAGCTCCTGTCCCTGAAGATATTTAGAGAGAGGCTTGCTCACCATGGCTCGGTGGGCGGGGCTTTCACATCTGCTAGGGTTTGAATTAGAATGTCCAACCAATGAATTAGTCATGCCAACTCTGAAAGTCTTTGATCCACATCCACCACCATAGAGCTTTGCACACTGAAGATGAGAATCTGTGACTGTTCTCTGGCTTGAAATTTTGGTTGTGGTAAGAGATATAATTAGAGCCAGGCATGGTGGCTCATGCCTGTAATCCCAGCACTTTGGGAGGCTGAGGTGGGCGGATCACTTGAGGTCAGGAGTTCAAGACCATCCTGACCAACATGGAGAAACCCCATCGCTACTAAAAATACAAAATTAGCTGGGGTGGTGGTGCATGCCTGTAATCCCAGCTATTCGGGAGGCTGAGGCAGGTGAATTGCTTGAACCTGGGAGGCAGAGGTTGACGTGAACCAACATTACACCATTACACTCCAGTCTAGGCAACAAGAGTGAAACTCTGTCTCAAAAAAAATGAAAAATTGGGGAGGCAGGCACAGTGGCTCACGCCTGCAATTTCAGCACTTTGTGAGGCTGAGGCAGGTGGATCACAAGGTCTAGAGATCGAGATCATCCTGGCCAACATGGTGAAACCCCACCTCTACTAAAAATACAAAAATTAGCTGAGGGTGGTGGCAGGTGCCTGTAGTCCCAGCTACTCAGGAGGCTGAGTCAGGAGAATCACTTGAACCCAGGAGGCAGAGGTTGCAGTGAGCCGAGATCGCGCCTGCACTCCAGCCTGGTGAACAGAGGGAGACTCTGTCTCAAAAAAAAAAAAAAGAGAGAGAGAGATGTGATTAGAAATCATTACAGCAAGAGTAAGGGAGGACAACAAGGTAAGCCTTGTTTTGGAGGAAGGAGACACAGCCCAACAGCCTGGAGATGATGAGGTCTCCCACACTTTTTGTTTTTTTAAGACAGAATCTGGCTCCGTTGCCCAGGCTGGAGTGCAGTTGTGCAGTCTTGGCTCACTGCACCCTCCACTTCCCGGGTTCGAGTGATTCTCCTGCTTCAGCCTCCCAAGTAGCTGGGACTACAGGCACCTGCCACCATGCCCAGCTAATTTATTTTTATTTTTAACAGAGACGGGGTTTCATCATATTGGTCAGGTTGCTCTCGAACTCCTGACCATGTGATCCACCTGCCTTGGCCTCCCAAAGTGCTGCTGGATTACAGGCATGAACCACCGGGCCTTCTGTTTTTTTGTTTTTTTTTTTTTGAAACAGAATCTCACTATGTTGCCCAGCCTGTCTTGAACTCCTGGATGCAAGCAATCCTTCTGCCTCAGTCTGCCAAAGTTCTGGGGTTACAGGCATGAGCCACTGCACCCAGCCTGTCTCTCACACTTTCAGCATCCTCTCAACCTCCTCTCCACTGACACCAAACCAAGAAGATCATCCCACTGGGTGAGCGTGAAGCCTAGGCAGAAGGTCCCAGCCATGGCTCAGTCCACAGAGTCCTTCCCCTTAACTCTGGTTCTCCATCACATCAAGATCACCCATGGGAGACTGTAAAAGTACACATGCTCAGGCTGCACCCCGTCTGCATCTCAAAGCTT